GGATGTTAAAATCGCTTTCTTAAATGGTGAGTAGAGGAAGAAATTTACATAGAACAACCAGAAGGTTTTTCTGTTCCAAGAAAAGAAAAGAAAGTGTGTAAATTGGTTAAATCATTATATGGTTTAAAATAAGCGCCAAAGCAATGGCATGAGAAATTTGACAAGGCAATGATGTCAAATGGATTTAAAATTAATGAGTGTGACAAATGTGTTTATATTAAAAACACAGATAAAGGTTATGTCATTGTATGTCTTTATGTAGATGATATGCTCATCATAGGTAGTAATAATGATATGATTAAAACTACCAAGAAAATGTTGAATAAACATTTTGACATGAAGGACATGGGCATTGCTGATGTAATTCTTGGTATGAAAATTACCAAAACTTCAGAAGGATATACTTTGTCACAATCTCATTACGTTGAGAAAATACTTGACAAATTCAGCAAAGATGATGATCATCTTGCTAGAACACCTGTAGATGTGAAATTGTATCTTTCTAAGAATGCACAGGAAAATATTTCTCAATTAGAGTATGCCCAAATTATTGGAAGCTTAATGTACTTGATGAACTGCACTAGCCCAAGTATAGCTTATGCAGTAAGTAAATTAAGTAGATATACGAGTAATCCGGGAATAGAACACTGGAAAGCAATTATAAGGGTTCTTAGATATCTCCGATTTACTCGTAACATTGGGCTTAACTATACTAGATATTCAGCAGTACTTGAAGGATACTGTGATGCAAATTGGATATCGAATACTAGAGACTCGAAGCCTACCAGTGGGTATGTCTTTACTCTTAGTGGGGCGGCTGTATCTTGAAAATCTTCCAAACAGACTTGTATTGCTAGGTCTACTATGGAATCTAAATTCATAACTTTAGACAAAGCAGGGGAAGAGACAGAATGGCTTCGCCACTTCCTTGAAGATATTCTAATTTGGCCAAAATCGATGCCTGCTATATGCATACATTGTGATAGTCAATCAGTAATAGGTAGAGCACAGAGTCATATGTATAACGGTAAGTCACGACACATTTGTTGTCGACATAACATCGTAAGACAACTATGCTCTAATGGAATTATTTCCATAGAATATGTTAAGTCTAAAGACAACATAGTGGATCCACTAACCAAAGGGTTAGCAAGAGAGTTAGTTGAAAATTCATCGAGGGAAATGGGACTTAAGCCTATTAAATAAGAGTTACCACAACGACAACCCAACCTAGTTGACTGGAGATCCCAAAATCTAGGTTCAAAGGGACAACCGAGTTGTGAATGACTCAGAAGGATCACTAGGGAGTCTAACTCCTACCCATTTCTTTGATGAAATAGTGATGTCTGCAGTGTTTGAGGTTAATTAAAATTTTAATGATTCTTATATCTAGCTAAACCTAGTGGAGTATGGCAGGATACTCTTCATAAGAATCACCTATGTGAGTGTGAACTGGGCCGGTTCTATAAGATTTGTGAAGGGCTACAAGTCTTTAGAGCACTCATGAAAGACCAGGCTGTTCAGGGCCAAAATGAACACAATAGTGAGAACTAAACTGTGTCTGGGGATATATTGTGTGAGTTCTATTGTCTTGGTTTACACAAACGGCTGAACAGTTCAAGACATCATGTTCACTGGTTAGCTAGTAAATCCGATAGTGTCTCACAAGGGAAGGTTCAAAGCCAAAAGTCACCTATCCTTTGCAGAATATTTCCAATTTTTAAACTCTCTGCATTTAGATCATGTTGTTGCATTTTCTCTCCGTCAAATTCCATTCATGTGGGGGATTGTTGGAAATATGGTGTAATATATGGCTTATTTTGGGCCGACTTTGAGACAAAAATTGAGTGGGCCCCAAACATCTTTTGGGGTGGATCCGAAGAGGTGACGTGTTCCTTGCCGCGTGGCAAGTCACACGGTGAAGACGAAATGTCAAAACTATTTATGAGTGAATGGGAAGTTGACGTCGTTTTCAGGTTTAACATTAATTTCTTTGATAAAAATTCTTTTGAATTTTTTCAATAAAAATTATTGTGGGAATTTAATTTAATTCTAAATTCAAATTTTGGGTTCCTAAGTGATTTCCTAAAATTTGTACCTCTTATTTTATTTATTAAACTATTCAATTTGTTTAATATATATATATATATATATTCAAAATAGTTTATTTAATAAAGGTGAAACAGATTTGTTTTCCAAACAGGTTGAAACTTTGTTCACTAACGGCTATGTTTTCAAAATTGTTTGGAGGAAAAAAAAAAACTGTTCCATGCGATACGGGCAGAACCTGTTCACTACAGTTTTGCACCTATTCATTTCCTTAATGCACCTGTTCGGGTCATTTGTAGTTGCCTACATTCCAGCAATGTTAAAGCAGCCAGAAAATTCAGTCCGTATATTCTGATATTGCTGTCCATTTTGCTTTAAGTAAATATATTCTTCATATATAATTTTAGGGAAAAAAAAATATTCAGAGAGTTAGAACACAGGTTTGATTCGCCGAACAAATTGTTTGGAGTACTATTACAATTTGTGAAGATCATTGTATCCTGGGAGATAGACGCCACTCAACCGTAAGTACCGTAGCGGGGCGAATCTGTCTTAAGGACAGAGTGTCACACACTCGACTTGGTCTTTGAATTATTTATTCGGTTCTACAAAATAAATATTGTAAGTTTTATTTTAATTTTGTTTGGATTATTTCAGTTTATTTTATTTACACAGAAGATTGTTCCAACATATATGTCCACTAACTCTGTGTAATCCTCCTCTTACAGTTCTGGTGCCATATACTCGGGTGTCCCTATTAACGAATGAGCATGATGTTTGGTTTGAAGAGAATTTTTCTTTGGTACTCAGAGAAATTTCAATTTTCTCCGATTTGAATCCAGAGAATTTCTCTGGGACTGAAATTTCTCTAGATCGATGTTGAGGGACCTTAGACATCATGAAAATATTTGATATCCTTTATACTATAAAATCTTAATATCAAGGACCTTAAAAAAAATTCCCCAATATAGAATACTATCATTAATTTCAATACGCAAATCAAAAATTAAAAGTATAACAAACAATATTTATATTGAATTGAGAAACCATAATACAAAATAAAAAAAAACTCACAATGGTCACAACCGTGGAAGCAGATTGGACACAACATTCACTAAATACATTCACACGCTAAGCACTCTTAAACTTACACACTCAAATTTGTTAATACTATATTTGATATTATACAATAGTCTTTGATACTATGAAAGCGTGCCTTCTTCAGAAGAATAGTTGGCTTTTATAGAGGAAGAGACTCCGATTTGAAATTATTTGGAGATCGCGAATCCGTAGCTTTGGTCCTTGAAAGACATTATTAGATTGTGTTGTCAATGGAGAATCCACTTTTTGAGTTGACTTGCCTTTTTTTGAAATTATTGTACTATAAAACTATTAAAATTATAGAGATTAAATGATTTACAAATTGTTGAAATCTACACTTTAACATATGTCTGAATATCAAATCAACACTAGTAAATTGTAGTTTGATTGGATTTGTAGTCATGATTTTAAAAAATATTATCATTATTGCCATCATCATCATCACAAAACATGTGTTTTTGACCCGCAACCGTGCTGGGGATCCCCAGTGGGGGGATCCCCAGTGGGGGTGACCCCCAGCACCCCCACTCCACATGGGGCTCTGTGATTGGCAGATAGAAAACAAAAAAAAAAAAAAAAAAAATCCAGCCAATAAGAAAACACTGGGGGTCACTGGGGGTTTGAAAAATTGGGGGTCCAAATCATTTTTGTTTTGACCCGGGGGGGAATAGTTTACCTTTTTAGAATTGAGACTTTCTGTAGTTTAGAATTAAAAAGTTTGTTTGGGATTTTTTTTATTTTTGTAATAAAATTATTATAATTTCGATGTCATATTTTATTTTATTAATTTATTTAACTTTTTATTTTTACTTTTTATATATACTTTTTTTTAGTACCAATCTGAATTGCCAGATGAAGCCATTATTTATAGTAATTTGTTTAGATGATTGTTTCCGCACTTGCACGAGTAGAGGATTTTGGTTTGGTTCTAAACCAGACCGAATTGTGCATTATGAACACCAAATTAAACTTGATATAGATCAGTACATAGGTTGGCCATTTTTTTGATTTTTTTCAGTCCTAATAACGTAAAAGGAAAACGTTATTTTAGGGATAAATTACAAAAAATATTTTTATTTGATTGAGTTTTTAGAATTTAATTTTAAAAAGAATATCAAAAATTAAGTTGGTGAAAAAAATAAAAAATATATTTATTATTTTTATATGATTTTCTCATTTTTAGGTAGAAATTATTTTTGAAAATTCAAAACTATTTTGTTTGAGTTTATTTTTATCAAGCTAATTTTTAATTTTTGAAAACTTCTCATTAAACTGTAATTATTTTGAACTTTCCAATAATATGCTATTTACCCAAAAAGGTACAACAAGAAGACCGTGGCCACATAACAAACCACATAACCACCCATTATTATTTGAATTTTTTTATTCTTATATAAAATTTATACAAAAAAACTTGATAAGAATAATGTGACAATTCTATTATTATAAATACATCATCTTTAAGAATGTTTTATTTCGAAATGAAAGGTCCACATCATTATATATGAAAATTATATATAAATTTTTTATTTATATAACAACTCATTATATTTTTTATAAAATCAGTGATTCATTCTATGTTTCTAACATATGTTTCTAATCAAATTGGGATTATCTCAGCAGCCAGAGCCAATGTACAAAAAAATAAAGACAAATAAAGAGAAAAACCCTTCAACTACAGTCTACAGATGGTTTTTATTTCCAAACCAAAATGTTGCATCCAAATTCCAATCTTCAATAAGTGATTGCACTTCTCAACAATAAGCAGAATGAATTGGGGTTTCCCACTATCAAGCTAATTCAAATTCTACTTACCATTCCATAGGAAATCAAGAATAAACAACTTGAGATATGTTTTATGAACTTGTCATTCATAATCTGTAGTTGAAGAGTAAAATTTGAGATGGAATTCATATATTTTTCCTATACTTGTATTGATTGAACTTTTGAAGAGGTCATAGGAAAAACATTTCTGCTAAAACTTCTAGGGCTCTCTACCAATTACAAAATTTGCCAAAGCACACCCTTCTTTAACAAACCTCAAAAGATAACCTTGAGAGCGTTTATTTGCCTCCGGTTATCAGCAGTCTGTCCTTCCCCGAGCTCAAGGGTGGCATTGCAACATATTTGGTATGACCCAAAATGAAAAACCGTTAAAAAAAGGAAAAGAAATGAAGATTTCAAAGTTAGTTGCTGCTAGAAGTCAATTTCGAGGTAGAAAACTCTTAAACAAGAAGATTCCCAAACCACCAACCGCCAAAGTTAAAATCAGAGAAGCCCTAATTGGTTCAATGTCAGCCATTATGCTTTTCCTATCCGTTCTTGCTTGGTGGCGTGGCTTCTCTCTCAAGGTCTCACCAAAAAGACAGCTAAGATTATCCATCTGATGCAAGATTTGACGTTGTCCACGAGCAATAGTTGAAATCTGTTAAAAAATAGAGTGGGCATAAAAAATGAATCAATCAAGTTGATCAAAAGCAGGTGTTCAAAAGTGTACCATGATGAATAGAAACAACTAAAATAATCCAATATGTGAAAGTCATTAACCATACTGCCTTTTTTCTCTTTTCCCTTTACTTTTCCTTTCTCTCCATAAATCCAAGATCCAAATACAACATTAATGCATCTGAGGTGTGGTGCTCACACCCATCCAAGGGATTGATGCATAACTTGATGGAACAATACACATCATTATCCCAAAACCATTTGAATCCCACAATTTTTCAAAAAAAAAAAAAAAGGGGGGGGGGGGGGGGGGGGATTGACATTTAATTTTGAATATCAATTTAGTCCGTCAAATGAATAATCCCACAATTTTATTTTTATTTTTTTAACCTTTAGTTGCATTTCAAATTTAAGAACAAGAATATTTGCTTGACATTGTAGGAGAAAAATCCAATTCATTTTTTCCCTTTGGTTTTGGAACTATGATTAGTAAACTCCTTTCATACAGATATTGCAACCACAAAAGTAGGTAAATGGTAAATTCAAATAGGAAACATGTAATGAGATTAATGCAGTTACCTCCTCCATTAATGGAGATTCCTTTGCTAACTGGGAGGAAGATGACGAATTAGGCATTATAGATCCAGTCAAGGAACCATTGCCTAAACCAGAGATGAAGTAAGAAGTAGGAGCAGATCCATTGCAGGCTTCAGCGTGCAGAGCCATGTTTTGTTGGCTGCCAGAAACTCTCTTGCTGGTTAACTTGGAATTCAGTTCTTCAATCCGAGATGTGAACTCATCCATCCGGTCATTGAGTGTGGAAATTTGTTCTGACAGCTGCGTGATAACTCCCTACCGGGAAAAAAAAGTGTCAGGTTTTTCTGTCCATGTGAATAATAAATAATTAATGATTTAGTTTGGTTAAATGTAAAGGAGTATTCTTTTGGAAGCCCATGCATCAATCTCCTTCATAATGGTACTTCACGAGCCATCGAAGAATAAAAGCGTAGAGGATATGGTGCACAGATTTCTCTCTTGTTGAAGCCACTGGTTTTGAAACAAGGGACGATGTTGTGGGATGTGTAGAGGTTTTTCTGTATCACCATCACTAGCTTCACAATCATTTATATATATTATGTGATGTGATGGGTTATGGTGAGAGAGTGGGAATCTCTCCAGTGTGTGTGTGGGAGAGAGATGGGACAAAAGGGTGAGGGGTGTGAGATGTAAAATTACCGGTGAATGGGAAGCCTATGAGGCTTGGGGCTTAAGTACTCAGTTACCTTGAGCTGGGGTCTCAGGTATTGGTGTCAGATTAGTGTATTCCCATCTCATGTAATCTCTATTATTCATAGTGGATTTTCTCTCTCCTCCGTGGACGTAGCTATCAGTCCCGAACCACATTAATATTGTGTCTCTCTTTAGTGTGCATATTTCTTTTGGGTATTACTTCCACTGACATATGGGTTTATTTTTTTCAACAAGGGGTATAAGAGTTTAAGGGTGATTCATTCCCAACAAAAAGAAGCAAAGGAGAGTTTGTTAACAAAAAAATTACATATACCCAAAGAAGAGTTTGTTAACAAAGAATTTACATATACCCAAAGAACAACGGGTAAATTCTTGAAAAAATTATAAAATCACCAATCACCTGGTTTGCTAATGCCGCTTGTGATTCTGTTGTCCTGTCATCAAACCGTTGGTTATTGGCAGAAAATCCAGTCATCTTTGACAGATTTTTGTCCCGTTGTGTTGAATATGAATGTGACATACCACTGTTCAAACAGGAATAGATCAGTCTCAGTTTGACAAATAATCCAGGCGTTAAAGATAAAAGCATCAGATCTTGACAGAAGAAAAAAAAAATGGTGCACAACATATTAGCTCCCCTTTATCTACAAAATGCAAGTATGGGAAGACAAGGTAGAAATATTATTGGTTTAATGGCTTAAATGAGATGTGCATTCCATGCAAAAAACAAGAGCTCTTGACATTCAGCAATACTTGGTCTACCTAATATATAGATATTGTACACGTCAGGACACTAACATTACTTGCTTATTTTGAGTTTGGATCATTTATTGTTCTAATAAGTCTTCTGAGATAGTATTAAGCTTTAATTTTTTTGTAATGTGCAAAATACAATTTTACTTATTTAATCTTTGTCTCAATATAATAACAATGAGAATCAAAAGGAAAACAACTGGCAAGAAGAAAGATTTCAACAAATAATTCAATTCCATAGATAGCTCCGAAAGGAGGGGAGCGGGAATAGACAACATACTATCATCTTCAAGCAGCTGAAATAAGTTGGTGCCACAAACAACAATAGTTCAACGACATCAATGATTAAATCTCAAACAAATGAAGAAATGTCTCTAAAGCCACACCAAGAATTTATGACAAACATAATTGTCAAATGTGAGCCAAAACTACAACGATAAATATGGGTTAGAAAATTACACCTCCTGAGATTCTTATTTCTCATGGCAACCCTCTCTGCAGCTCGAGAAAGTGCTTCTTTGGGACTTGCTACCACCAGATCATCATCCATGCTGAGTTTTGTCTTCAAGTCATCTGGTAATGCCTGCAAAATGATTAGATCAGGAAAAGAGTGATTGGAAAAAGACATTAGAAGCTCTGGAAGTTTCCATACCATAACCTCATCTACAAGTTTCTCCAGCTGTATTTGTTCTATATAAGTACGAGGAACGTATGACCCTTCCAGTTCCAACTGCTCAGCCACATACTTTACAAGTAGGCGATCTTTTCCTTGCACCTGCAATGAAAATAGCATCCATTTTTAGTTAGAATTTTTAGCTCTAATGAAGAGATTAAAAGTTTAGAACAATTAAGAGACAAAAAAATTATGGTGTACGTTTCCATCATTGTACTCTCTAGCAAGCAGATGATGAAAAATTTTGTATTACCTGAACATAATGGCGGTTCAGTTGTTCTAACCAATCAATTTTCACACACACCCTTTCATCAGAGAATACATGGCTACTTCGTTTTAGGATAGCTGCTATCGTGTATCCCAAGGCCATCAAGCCACCAAGAAGCCGCACACTGACTTCAAAAGTTATTCTTGGTGATATGACAAATGGAGAATCTGTAACCCATTCCTGAAATTAAAAAGGATAATTAGTCTGATCAGACAGTACTATGCAAGTCTTTTCATTTTTCTTGATATCAAAATTTGCAGCAAATTCAGAGAGCCAAAAAAAGGCTGATACCAAGCATAAAAGAAGGAATTGAATAACCTTAAGTTAATAGTGAATCAAATTAAAAATCAGAGACAAGATCATAAATAACTGATACCAACATTTAGCCTTTTTTCCTTATAGATTCTGTTTGGTTTCTAAGAAAGAAATTGGTTAATGTAGCCATTAAGCTACAAATTCAACAAGAGTTGCAGATATATAACCATGATGGTATGCTTAGGGCACGGCAGGTAGCAAAACATATCAAGATATCCAATGTGCCATACAGAACCCTCACCGCCTTCAGTCCAAAATCCAACTAAAACTGTTTTATATTTAAAGATTTTTCCTTCTTCAGTCTGTAAACATCAGAAAGAATTGCTTTGGTTCACAAAATTTGCTCAAGAAAATATGTCCTCTGTGTATTCAGAACTACAAATATCTGAAGTTTTTAAGTAAATATAGGTTAAGATTATACACACAAACATTATGATTACAGTAGAAACTGTTAAGTCACCACTACTGCCAAAAGCTTAAGCTGTTACGAAATGAGTCCAACAATGTATATCAAGCTATCTAACACCCTCATTCACGTGCAACCTTGTCTTAAAAGTGGAGATGCAAACATCCGTGCATAGAGAGAAGAAAGAATGCAAATGAGAGACAAAACATCCATACATAAAGAGAAGAAAAAATGCAAACGTGGACCAAATACAAACGTAGAGACTTGAACCCAAAACTTCCCACAACCTGAGCTCCGATACTATGTTAAGACGCCACTAGTCTTAAAAGCTTAAGTTGTTAGGAAATGGACTCAACAAATTATATCAAGCTATCAAACATAAACAATATATATTGAAGATTTTTTAAACAGCATCATTTTCTAAAAAATATGCTGACTACTAAAATAAGTGAAGGAAACATGATAAAGAACTAAAATTTTGAAGAACTGTCTGTGCATTCCTAAGGTGCCATTATTATAATAAAGGGACGAACCTCAAACATGAGATTGTATTTTCCATCTTTGTTCCGCATCCTCAAATATGATTGGCATGATTCAGGATCTTCACCAGGTGGTAGAAGATAAATATCATAAGTCTGCTCCATTGTTTCCGTGTGTTCTTCTGACATGACAGCCTTGATTTCATCCACTGTCACTTTCTTTGATGACTAAAATAAAAATGCAGTACATAGCTATTAAAATAAATCTATATAAGTCAACAATGAAGAAACATTTCAGCTCTGGGCATTGATGGGCAATCATAAAATACAACAAATACATGAAAAAACATAGAGAGAAAGAGAGAATTAAGAAACCTTTAAAATGTAAATAGGAGACTGAAATCCTGTGAATGGGTTGAACTTGTTGATGATTTTTATATGTGCTGTTTGAAGATCTGGCTCAATAAACGCCTTGTACATTGGATATACCTGCACAACTGTGTATAGTTTAAAACTGGTAGAGGAGAAGATCATCAAATTTCATAAGAAGATTAAGCTGAGGATTATAGTTAAAACCGTTTCAGATATCTGATGGATTATTTCTTCTGGCTCTTGCCCAGCACGTTGTATGTCCCGCAATACCCGTTTAACAAGGTCAAAGTGCACTCCACCTGTAACGGATACTCGAAGATCCAGTAAAGGCCTCAACTTTTCACTCAAAGCATAGATACCTTCAATAACCACAATACGGGAGCTTGGAACTTCGAGTGTCCTGATACCACCACATGCTTAAATGAGTTTCAAGAGCTACTACATGGTAGTGGACCAATGGACAATTTGATCTAATCAAGCACTCAACTTTAAAGAAGAAATAACTGAACAACAAATTAAAAGAAATGACCATAAAAATATAGGACATTTACACACAAGTCTTAATTTATAAACTTATACTCCATTAAGTCCTAACTAAGATTTTTTGGACCTTCAAGTCCCATAAAATTTTTAATAGTAAGAATTGCCCTTCAAACAATGATTGTTCGTCATTTATGACTATTTATAAAGGAACATGATGATTTGACATTTATTTTGATTTTCAAAACTTTAAAACATTAACTTTCAAATTGAAAAAATTGCCATTTTTTTAGCATATGTTCGGTAAAAAAAAAAAAAAAAAAAAAAAAAAAACTAAATCTTTTTTTTTTTGAAAAAATTTGAAAAACTAAATTATTTTTTTATGCAAAACTGAAAATTTTGTGTCTATAAAGGAGCATGATGATAGAACATTGATGTGCAAAAAAAACTAATAATGTTCTTGGTTTTATTAGATAGTTGAATTAAACCAATAACTAGAAGGGCAAAAACGTTTAATCTCATGCTCTATTTTTTTTATCAATTAGTGAAACAATTATCTGAAACATTACTATGCAAAATTGATAATATTCTTAGTTTTTTAAATTGGAAAAACTGATAATATTCGTAGTTTTACTAAATAGGACTTATTGGTTTAAAAAATCTTAAATAGGACCTGAGCTACCATCAAATTTGTAAATAGGACTTTTAAATAATTAACTCTAAAACTTTTAAATAATTAACTCTAAAAATAATGTCTTCAGCTATGATGGAAGAAAATTAAAAAAAAGCAAAGGCCAACTATATGAATCTAGAGTGGCTTTAGCAGAACCACAATATGTTAGAAACTTGAAAGTATGGAGAGTGATCAGATAATAACACAAAATGAAAAACTCATCATAGAAAGAGACATATCTCCACATAAATGGTGGAGTGACCAGGTACTGTCACTTCAATAAAAAGGAATGTCCTCTAGGACTAGAAGAAAAGAAGCTTATTTTTAATCTTCATATAGGTATATGATCATATATTTAACAATAAAATGGAATTTTATAAGCAGTTTCTTTTACGCAACATTGAGATGAGTTAAGCCCAGAAGTTTTTATAGGTAATGAAATGCATATAAATATATGACGATAAATTGGAGAGGAACTCAACCTGTATCCTGTGCGGGAACTAGACTTGAAATCATATATGGGAATCTCAACCTGCTTCCCTTCCTTTAGGTCATAGATATTCTTGAGCAATGTGTCATAGTCCGTCAAGCGTGGGTCTGTTTCAAAAATATACCAAACCAGTAAAAAGTTGAAACCCAATATGTAATTTGATTTTTTTTTTGCATGTATCTGTAGATTTATGCTTTGATTTATTATGTATATATATATATCAAATGACTAACATAATTCTACTATGCAATTATTTTATTTGATGTTATAAAAATAAGGTTTTCATAGGGCAACACGTACACACATTTTCTCAGTATGTTTCCATTACTTTACCTAAGAACTTTGCTCTCAATTCTGTTCCTTAGTAGCTACATTTCCTTAATTACAAATCAAATTTTTGATGAAGGGAAGGCTAAACCATCTTTAAAAACCTACAAATTAAGGAAGTCAAAACCAACACCGTAAGTCATTATGTCCTAATTCACAACTCAACATAAGTCCTAAGATGAAAAGATAAAAATAAAAGAAGAAGAAAGAAAAAAAGGCATTTGTGAAGGCTTTTGGACTTGAGTCCTGAATTGGAGTCATTGGCTATACAGTTGTTAAGTTCCTCATAAGTGAAAAAGGGTTTCACATATAATGTTACATCTACAAATGGCATACTCATAGAATGAACTAGCATTTAGTTTTTGAGCTAATGATTCTAAATCTAATTATAAAAAGCATGTCAGCTACTTTGGCATAACAATCACAATTAAACTCAACCACTTTGTGAAGGATTATCACTTGCCTATAGGCTCCAAACAGCTTTCAAATGTCATTCAGATCAAATAAGTATTTCACAAAACCATCCTCTTCAAAAGGATAATTCAGACAGATCAATGAAATTTCAGCTTATGTTTCTAAATTGCATATCCATAAAAATAAAAAATCACTGTAAAAACAAATATGGCCAAAAGAAAAGAATGCCTTAAAGGGGAAACAAAGCATATTTTGACACACTGGGAACAGCTTTGAATAAGAAGCTCACTATCATGGATGCCCTAAGAAATACGGTCACAGAGTCCTATAAAAAGAATCCAAAAACATAATAATAAAAAGAACATTCTACCATCAAAGTTGCCATCAATAATTCGACTAGAATCATTGTAGTTGTCCATTGATATGACACCAATGCTGGGCATAAAGTTGAGTATTTTCTCAGTAAACACAGTCTTCCCAGCTCCGGATGGACCAGCTAACCCTACTAATATCAGCCCATCATTTTTTTGGGCTAACAATTGGCATGCACGGATAACTATAAAGAAACCCTTCTCAAATGACAGAGGATCATGTATAGGGACAATCTCATATCGATCAATATCCTTTCGCTTAACCAACCGAACTTGATCTTTTAAGAGCCCAGGCTTTCGCTGATTTGATTCAGCAGAATTATCTGGAGCCATAGCAAATATGCTAGCTTAATCTGATAAAACAGAAACAAGATATTCAATCACCAAATAAGTTACTTTGACCAAGTTAAAATCAAACCACACATGAGACAACTCAAGGACTGTAAGACAATGTCCAAGCTACAGAGAACCATCCATGTGTGTTTTTTGTTAACATGTTCATATGAAATCAAATTAAATTTATTTAACAGAAGCAAAGGCACCTGGGATGCATTCTCGTGTAGAAAGGACCATCAATCAATAGGATGTTAGACATCACAAAGAAATTACGTTGTGAACATCATTTCTTTGCAGAAGTTCATATAAGTGGAGATGTGCAATCATCAAAGCAGAAGGACAGTAAAATTTCGATAATATATTGTGACCCGATTGACCTCAATCTTGACAAGCACAAAAGATATGAAAGACACTGAATTGTGTGATACAAAATAACACAATTACCGTAAGTCATGAGATATGGAACAAATTATTAATTACAAGGGTATTAAAACATAAATGTCAAACCATCTCATGAAACAAAGACCCGGAGGTCCAGAGAAAGTTGCTAGATGGATAGCAAACTGCTCAAGATAACCCATAACGAAGAACAGTCAATATTTTTACCTCATAGGTTATCAGAAGCATGAGGATAATAAATAAAGGTCATAGAATTTAATATTTCTCATTTGGGGATTGATAGAACACACCCAGTTGAAAATTGAAAATTTAGCAATACGAAAATTGAATAAATGAGGCCCATTTTTACTCATGAAACTGGCAATGGGCCTCAATATATTGCTCTGAATCTGACTTAGTAATGCAGTAGTCAACTGAACAAGCAAGATGGCTCTACACTACATTCTTCACACATAACCTAGTGAATCAAACTAATTACAAGGGTAGAAATGGATATGTCGGCAATTAGCAAGTTGGAGAATCAAAACATTAGGTCCTTAACTCCTTAGTGCCCCAAAACCATCATGGTGTTAAACAACACGAACTGTAGTAGCTATTTACATGCAGGGCCCTAAAGTATCAATCCTATCAGAAAATCTCAGCAGCCAATCCATGGTTGGCAAGTTGGCAAATCTGTAAAAAAATGTCCTCAAGAACAAAATCATGGGAATTCCTACTGGTATACTCCAACAAGTTTGGTACTGTTAAATAGTTACCATATAGTTACGCATACCAGTTCTCCAAATACCATCTTTGTTCTACACAGTATACAAACACATTGAACTCAAACACACATACTAAACTCTAACAGAGATTTAATTTACAGTCTACTTATAAAAACAAAATTGAACAGTTCCACCATTACAGCAGCATTAAACAAGGATCACCAGAGACTAAAATCAGGAAAAATAAAATATAAAAAATCATACCAAGATGAGAAAATCAACACAAAATTTATTCTACACAAACAAAAGCCACAGGAAAGAGTTTACAACTCGTTTTCAGGATTTCTTCAGATCGATCTAAACCCACATATACTCAAGTGGCGACTTAAACAAAGAAATCATAAACCAAATAAATAAAATAAGAATTGCCCATCACACAAAATGGGGCGAACAACAAAACCCAGAAAACAAATTGGATCAAAAATCAATCCAATGTGTAGACGAAGATACTAACCGAGTCACACGCTGAGTTCAGCAACTAAAACCGTAGAAAAAGCCTGCTCATTTATGGAGTATATATATGATGTTATATATATTCATACACAGATTTCTTTCTCTTTGTGTGTGATTTTAGTTTTCCTTCGGATTGAAAGAAATGTGATTTTCCGGGATTTTGCTGCGGGGGAAGGAGTGGGAATTCTGGCGGAATTGCCACGGAATTGCAAATTTACGAGAACACTCAAGAAAGGGACCCAATGGAGAGAGAGAAAAGCAATTAAATACTTTTAAAGTTTGTTATTATCATTGATCGGGTAAATTACGCTCACACTCCTGAGCTATGATCTAATTATATCTTATTATTTGGATTCACATATTTATAAATAGTGCCATTTCATAAATTTTTGTCAGTAAATAATATGTATTAAATTTAAATTTGATATAATTATAATTTACTCTTATTTATTCAAAGAGTCACTATTCTCAACCCCATTTTACGTTAATGCCTATTTTGAAAAATGTCTTTTTTTAGTTTGTTGGCGTTTTAAAAAAAAATGTGCTAAAATATGAAGAGGTGGTGTAATTTGAGTAAGTTAATAAATTATTATTTTTCAATTATCAATATAAGCCTAAATATATTTTTATTATTTTTTTTTCTATACATAGATAAAAGGGCAAATTGCATATACCTCTCTCGAAATTTAGCTAAATTACAGATACCACCTGAGATTTCGGAAATTACAGATACTCCTGAGGTTTATATTTTCATAATAAATTGCTCTATGAGGTTTATATTTTCATAACAATTTACCTCCTAATTTGTTATGCAAAAAATACCTTCAAGAGATATCTGTAATTTTTTAAATCTCAGTGAAATATTTGTAATTTTATTAAATCTCGAGAGATATATGTAATTTGTCCTAAATAAAAATATATTTAGAATAAAGTAAAATTTATATTTTATTGTTATTCATCACAGGTCTCACCGATCACAGCATGACAGAGGCTACGTATTCGGTTCATCGACATGTCAGAAGTCAGAACCTTTTATGTTTCTCTCTTTTTTTTTCTTTTTTTTTTTTTTTTCCTTTTTCTGTAAATAGTTATAATATATATTTTTTTAATTCTTAAATAAAAACTCATACTGTAATTAAATAGTTTTTTTTTTTTTTTTTTTTTTTTTTTTTTCAATTTAACGAATGCACCCCCATTAAAAATATTTATTTGGAAGAAAAATGAATTATGTGTGGTCTCATGGCTGCCTTTGTAACTTCTTCTTTTTTTCACTGTGTTGATTCTCAATGTTGGAGTGGAAATAATGGATTTGATTCGATTTTAAAATAAATTAAAATTAAATCACTAAAAGTTAAAACTGAGCAAAGATCCTCTAGAGTGATTTTTTCTTAAAGTTTCCTAGAGTGCTACATTGTGTGGTTGAGATTTACTGGCAAGTCACATCAATTTTTCTGATGTGACTTGCCAGTAAATCTCAACCACACAATGTAGGACTTTAGGAAACTTTAGGAAAATTTCACTCTAGAGGATCCTTGGTGCCTAACTTAACCCAATTTGCTATAAAAGTTATGCCTCCTTTGAAAAGTTGATTTATGGTTTCTAAAAAAAAATATTCAAATCAACTAAACTTGCTCATGTAAATGTTAAAAAAGTGACAAACAAGGTAATTTCTACAACATTATTATTTTTTGGAAAATTTACCCATAAATCCTATTTGCTGAAATGTTGAACCATTTAGTCCTAAATGTTTTCCTATGCTCCATTTAGTCCTGTTTGATATCCTGATTTTTGGGGGTTTGATTTAATCCATTGCGTTTTTACGTCAATACCCTTTACCTGAATATTTCCTTCAACAGTTGTTGGTGAATTCAATTGAGTTTCGTAATGTTCAACTTATTGTGGGGATGTTTCTGGGACACCCAAATCGGTGAGCACCATTTTTTCTCTAGCATTTACGATGCATTACAACTGATTTTCTGCAATCAACATGTTTGTTGTTGTCGTCCACCATTTCGGTTTCATTACCATTGTTTTCCTTCATTTACATTGATTCCACCATTGTTTTCATGGAGTCAGAATACCGTGAGAGGTCTCTTTCCGTTGGTCGGCATCATCTTCCCCAGAGACCATCATTTTTTCTGTAGCATTTACGACGCATTACAACTGATTTTCTGCAATCAACGTGTTTTAGTGGGGATGATTTTTATTGGTTAACTTTGTTTTCACCATTTTTGCGATTTCTCGTAGACGGTTATTTACGTTCTGACTCCGTAACAGTTTCTTTCATTATTATGTATTTTGATTGACATTGTTTCTGATTCTTTATTGTTGTTGTCCACCATTTCGGTTTCGTTACCATTGTTTTTCCGTCATTTACATTGATTCCACCATTGTTTTTGATGGAGGCAGAATACGGTGAGAGCTCTGTTTCCGTTGGTCGGCATCATCTTCCCCAAAGACCATTGCTGTTCTTCGCACTGTAATTGGACATTTCAAGTTGGTGGCTTCCTGCGGTGGCATTGTTGTGTTCAAGCCCCTGGGTGAAGGTGTGTTTTTTTTCTATAATTTTTTAAGTTTCCTCTGATCTGTCTATGGGATGGGTGCGCTGGTTTTATCAATGGAGGGATGGGTCGTTGGGCTTTTTTATAATTTTCCTGCAATGCTGTGTTTAATCAAACAAACGCACACATACTGTTCTGTTATGGTTGTTTCATGGGTATGTTGCAGCCGTAATGGTTTCTTCAAAATGTGTGCAGGTATGGATGGGGGAATTTTGCTGGTGTGTTCGTATGGTTTAGTTAATGTTCTTATTCGGTTGAATCACGATTCGTCGTATGTGAAGATTGTTGATGAAATTTGTGGGAAGTTCGATGGATTGGTACCAGGTGCGGTGTGTTTGTTTTTTGATTTTCCCAGATATAAGAAGTTTAAGGTGGATAGCGACGACGACATTCAAAATATGTTGTGCCTTGCTAAGTCGTTCGGGATAAATCACATTGAGGTCGTCATTCAGGAAAGTAGTGTTGGTGTGGGTGGTAATCGTGTTGTGTTGGATTTCGCGGACGATGGGGGAATGTCACGGCATGTTAGCGGGAATGAGTTTGTGGATGACCAGATGGATTTGTTACCAACGTACTGTCCGAACAAATCGAAGACGTTTCTGTCGGCGCAATGGGCGCATGGTATTACCCATGTGGGACAATGTTTTGATGGTGGAGCAACTGAATTCCGCGAAGTTCTGTGTAAGTATGCTGTTGAACGTGGATTTCAATTTAAGTATGTTAAAAATGACTCCGTGCGAATTACGGTAGTGTGTAAGTTTGCGGCTTCAACAGATTGTCCGTGGTCAGTTCATGCGAAGATGTTACCGTCAAGTGGGGTGTTATGCGTTAAGAGGTTTGATAGTGTGCATACTTGTGGGGCTGCTGTACGTACTTCTAGGAACCCTCGTACGGGGTCTGATTTGGTGTCTACCGTTGTTGCAGATCGACTGCGTGATAAGCCATTGACGCGCCCCACTGATGTCGTGTTTGATTTGAAGAACGATTATGGTTTGGATATTAGCTACCGGGTGGCATGGTTGGGTGTTGAGAAAGCTAGGGGCGAGGTGTTCGGGGATCACGCTACGTCCTTTGATCAGCTGAGGTGGTATAGCAATTCTGTTATGCAAAAAAACCCAAATAGTTACATTAATCTTGAGTTTGACCCAAAAACTGGGAGCTTTGTTAGGTATTTCATATCATTTCGCGCTTGTATAGATGGGTTCAAACACTGCCGGCCTATGCTTTTTTTGGATGGAACGTTTTTGAAAGGTAGATTTAAAGGTAATTTGCTCGCAGCTACTGCTAAAGACGCCAATCAAGGTAATGGTGTGTGACTTTACCTATTACTGCTTATTTGCTGAACATACTAGTAAATAGATACTTCAAATTTTTATACATTTCAAATGTTTCTTTCCCATTCAACAACGGGAAAAAAATTGAGAACATTGAAATAGGGTCTCCTCAAATAAAACTGAATAGGAATGTAAGACACAGTGGCAGGCTTATTCGTTTTAAAAATTTTTAAAATGTGTCGCACTTTTTTATTCGTGGATGGTTGTATAAGTTTTGTCATGCCTAACTTTTTATGTTGCATGTTTGGTGTTAGGATTGTTTCCGGTTGCCTTTGCTATTGTTGATTCCGAGAATTCAGCTAATTGGGAATGGTTTCTTCGTAATTTGAAAGAAGTTGTTGGGGGTGGGCGAACATTAACTTTCATATCTGACCGTCACGTCGGATTATTACACTCTATGCCCATTATTTTCCCTTCAGCGCATCATGCATATTGTTTGTTGCATCTGCAAATGAACTTGCAGGATCGAATGAAATGTTAATGCATCGCACAAAATTGGGTTGATGCGAAAGTTACGGGAATGTGCATATGCGCCCACTGTTGCTTGTTTCAATGAGAAATTTGAGGTATTGAAGAAGGCCAACCCAGCTGTGATTGAAGATTTTATGAAAGACCTGCACCCCAAACACTGGTCTAATGCGTATTTCAGGTAATTCATGGCCTGCACAACGGGTTATGGCATATTTAAAAAGTTCCCACTTGTTTTTTTCAGTATGTTTTGTTTTGGTCTTTTTAATTTACGCTTTGTAAATGGGTTTCTTTTTTTTAAAAAAGGGGCCAACGGTATGGGGAGATGTGCTCAAATGCTGCGGAATCTTTCAACAATTGGGTTGGTGAGGCTCGTCATCTCCCCGTCACGAGATTGGTCGATATGATAAGGGGTCAAATAATGGAGCAGATGTCGGAGCGCAGAGTTAAATGCAGTAAATGGGACAGTGTTATAGCTCCGAAAATGGAGAAAAAATTGGTGGCAGCATATAACGACAGCAGGGCTTGGTGTGTTAGCCAGGCTAATGATGATGTCTATGAGGTCCACTCCCACCCATCGGTGTTGGTTGATGTCGGCAAGCTGACATGTTCTTGTTTTCAGTGGCAGATTAACGGGTTCCCATGTTCCCATGCTGTGGTTGCATTCCGTAATAGTGGGAGAAATATCTACGATGCCATAGACTCCGCATTTTGCATTGATACATTTCGAGCTACTTATAGCGGAACCATATACCCCATCCCAACAGTGAGGAGGCCACTGTTTAACCCAGCTGAATGTTTGATAGCTCCGCCGACGGCCAAGCGTCCCCCCGGTCGGCCAAAACGGAAGAGAATTCCGTCCAAGGGGGAGGTAGTGCAACGTATACGTTGTGGTCGTTGCGGAAAAGTGGGCAATCACAATAAGAAGACATGCAAAGAGCCATTACAGTTGGGCTGCCATATGATTTAATTTGGTTATTAACAAACTGGGATTCCAGGTTATTTTGTTTTTTTAAAAATTTTCCTTTTTTTTTACATCAGTCATTCACTTTCTGTTATTGGTTTAATTTGTTTTGTAGGATATACATTTTTACGTAATCCAGCAACCATTTCAGTTCCCATTGTTGAACAATTACACGCCACCTTTAAGACCCAACCATTTTAGTGTGAAATATGTTTTGCTTAACACTGTGCAGCCATGAAAATAGCCACTGGTTGTTATTTTTCAAATCTGTTATGAATGACATTGTGTACACACGAAAAGAGTCAGTGGGGGCCGGTTTTTGTTTCAAATCTGTGGACATCATAACAAATTTGGAAACCATTCATCCACTTTATGTTGTTGGTTTAATTTGTTCACCAAGGATCCTCTAGAGTGAAATTTTCATAAAGTTTCCTAGAGTACTACATTGTGTGGTTGAGATTTACTGGCAAGTCACATCAAAAAAATTGATGTGACTTGCTAGTAAATCTCAACCACACAATGTAATACTTTAAGAAACTTTAGAGAAAAATCACTCTAGAGGATCCTTGCTCTAATTTGTTTAGTAGGACATACATTTTGGGTCCCCACTATTAAACACTAACACTGCTCCTTTGAAACACAACCATTTAATTCTCAAATCTTGCTTTCATTAACACTGTGAATACATGAAATAAGGAATTGGTGCCGTTTAAGTTTACAAATTTGTTCACATCATACCAGAACATTCGCCCAAAGTGGACTCTGCCAACCTGTATCTGGAACGGCAATGGATTTTTAATGTTTCTGTGGCTGCTTACAATCCATTGTCATTGCACAAAACATGTACCCATTACCAACTGACTTAAAATAAAGGTAATTTTATGTTACGCTCGACATGGTATCATCACAATTCTGATTAAGCTGGCAATGCGAAATTAATCTTTACTCGTGTCATACTTAGCATGTGGTTGACGTGCTCAGTCTTTGCATGTCCACTTCCATATACATGAATCCACGCATACTCCCGTGGTGGAAAACAGGTTTACCAAACTGAGTGTCGTCATGCCCAACTCCTGGATACATCACACCATGTTCACATACCCAGGCCCATCTGCCATTTAAAAACAATGTACTTCACGTGACATAAAAGTGTAATGCACTGTGAAACTGTTATTATGCAATAGGTGAGACTATTTGAATAGCTTACTAAATAATATCAACATTCATATCCACAAAATACTGGATCCTAACCCAAGATTAAACCGTTCGCCACTTCTGCATTACCAAAAAAGTAATGTATATGAAACTAGTTTTTGCCTCCTACTTTTATGTGTTTCCAGACTAACAAAACATTATATACGCCGATACGGGAAAAACAGAATAAAACATCCTAATGCTGTTGTTGCAACTTGCGCACTGGGAAATGTCTTCTCAACTTGTTATAATGTCCTCCCACGGAGTCCACTGCCCGGGTCACTTAAGAACATTTCCACCATTGCAGCTCGTAGCCCAGTTGGGGTCAGCCCATCCATCGAAGTATTCACTTCTGCACCACGAATGTACTGCCTGATTATGAAGCACACGAAAATCCCACAATCCGACCTGCACTAACAAACACCGGTGTCAACGTCACTGACGTGATACATCATCAAAACAGTACGCTCAAAATAAAATGAACATTTCTTACGACTCTGGAACTTGTTGTGGGCAATCCACAACAGATACAAAACTGCCATCAAACAGCTGTGCGCCAACAGCTGCAAGTGTAACTCGAGACTTCACAAATTTGTTGTGGTGATCAGCCACCCATTGTTTCTGTCCATTTTTCACATGTCAGTGCAGTTTTGTCCACAGTAGCATTAACTTTTTCCACATTGCAGTCTGCCCATAATGCACATTAAAAACTGAAATTTGTAAACAGCACTTACCACTTTTAGAGCCTCATTGTAGTGCTCATCGCGCACTCCACGTCTTGGCCGCATCGAGTTGTAATGTTTCCAATTCCCACTTTCTGAATCGCACGCCATGACTGTCCAATGGTTGGCATTGTAGATTGGGATTAGTGTGTATCTGCAACCTCGTGCAGCCTTCATGTGAATATTCAAATACTTCGCTCGGGAAACAGCACTACTGTTTCGCATCATATCCTGCACAATTGTCCAAAACCACCATCGGCGTACCAGGTTTCATTATGTAAATATTTTTTCCAGATTTCGGGCAGTCAAATAAAACTGAAGATACATACTGAACAAACACTAGTGTAAATGTACGCTGTCCCAACATATTCTGCCCTTCCAGATACCATCTTATGCATTTCAGTCAACATTGCAGCGTACGCATCGATTACCTGCAACATATGTTACCCATTACAACTCCACCACAATAGTAATTACAACTTTGTAAATTTACATTTCATTTACATATTCTTCACTGTGTTTTAAAATTCATTTGCCGTTTCTGACTGCCACATCACTCAATTCACAAAGGAAGCAACGGTCAGATTTGCATATGTTTTTTTAAAATAATTAAAGAAACACTAAATACTGTACGATTCGTTACACGGAACCAGCTTACATTGCCGTGTATGGAGTTCTGCTGCACCAAATCTTTGATGTCCGTGAAATGGACTTGTATTCCATTGTGTCCACCATCCCACACTATTAACCTGCACACCGTGCACCAAAATTAAGAACCACCATAGAGCATAGTTTTACAAGTTGTACATGTTAAACAATAGAACATTTCATCCGAACAACGTACCCGTCCCCCTCTAAAGTGTACATTCTTTGTAGTAGTTCCCTGTCTTCATCCTTCACCATGTTCCGCACAGTGTGCCGCCTATTCAGACCGAATCCATTCCATGTTTTACGCTCCACCTCGACGTCCTCAACACTGTAAATCACCCCGGGTTCAACTGATTTACCAAGTCTGACATTGGTGTTTACCTGTGGACGCCCAAATATGCTGGGATATTCGTAGTCTGATAACCTAAATTCCCGTCTTGCCTTGTTCTTCACCCTTTTGACAAGTGATGTAATTTTCGGCCCTGAACTTGCTGCACCTGTTGTGTGTTCACTATGACCTTCTACAACAACGACAGCTGCGCCATCCTTTACATTGCCATCAGCTACTGTCTCTGCATTTATGGGGCTGCAGCTACCCTCACCCCTTGCCACAGTTGTACGTACAATCCCATCTGCAAAGTCATCTGTCAAATCTTCAATCCCAGGGTCATTGTCAACAAGTTGTAGTTCGTTGATCCGCACGTCTTCGGGTTGGCCTCTAGGACATGCAGACCGCTGCGCACTTTCGCAACTCGTCACATTGGCAGACCCACTCACTTTGCCTGACAGACTATTACTTGGTGTTCGCTGATTGGATCCATCATTCACAGCTAATTGTGTGACCTCGTGAACCTCAAGGTCATCAAGACTATCTTCCAAATTGCTTATTTTTTTGTCCAATCGATCAACCTGCTTGGTGAGCCGTGCAATTTCTGCATCCTTATCCACAATCACAGTATTTAAGTTTGCAAACAAATTAGCAGCATGCCGCCCGAGCAATTTTTCCAGTGTTTCCACACGTTGTTCCAGTTCACATATCTGTACATCTTTCATATTGTTCTCACTCTCTAATTCAGTAATTCTGGCTTTACAAGTTATCAGCTCATCGCGCACCCCTCTTTGTTCCTTACCCACGTCTTCACCGTCTGGAGTGCTGGACAGTTCCAGAAGATCTGGGAACAATACCGGCCAAACCTCTCCACGTGACACCAGCTTCCCAGCTACTTTTTCCTTGCTGGTCGGTGTTCCAGTATTTTTATTGTCATAGTCATTTGCCCCCTCTATTTTCATGTCACCCTTTGTTTTTTTGGCTGGCTGCCAACAATTGAAGCTCGGCTCCACGCTGCCAACATCATCTGTCTCAATCACAGCCCTGCGTTCATCGCACACTCCAGGCGGTTCCGCATCCACCCTAATTCTACTACATTCTTTTGGTTCAATAGCAGCAGCAGGCACCTTCAGAATATGACATTCATTAATCGTCCCAACAAGTTTGCCACACTGGACCTAATGAAAGTTACCAGCAAAACGTAGCACAATTTCAATGTTTTGGTATTGGAAAAATTTGCAAAACAATTAAAAGGGTTCTAATTGCATACCTCAAAGCAACCTTCTGACGACAAATTTATTACTCTTAGTTTCCCCACAGCGGCTGCAATGTTCCATCGACAAAATCGTGGTGTCACGTCAGGTCGTTCCGGAGCGACGATGTTTGAATGCTCACAAATAAGGAACTGCAATTACACCATGAAACATCCGTTAAATACACACTGAAATGGGTTATATGTTTTAACGCTGAATTTGAACCCCCAAACAAGCAAAAAACATACGTACCAGCAATGCTACTACGCAACCAGTGACCTTCTCTGGCTTATTGTGCATCTCATTTAGTGACCCAATCAATGTGTTTCTTATTGTTGCACTCCAGTCATAGTGCTGCAACGTGTCTAGTTTGTCAATCACACGAACAAATGCCCAACCTATATGCTCGCCGGTTGTTGCGAAAAATAACTTGGCGCACACATAAAGACATAACAATTTCGCCACATCATCTTCGTCACGCTCCGTACGACCACAGATGGCTTCTCCCAGCAAGTCCTTTATTAGTTTTGAGGAAATTCGGGTAACATTTGCGCAGCGTCTTTGCATGAAATCAGACGGCCCTTTCCCACCCTGTGTCATATCCAATTTCTCCCTCCCACATTGTACCCCAAAGATCAACCTGATGTCGTTGTTGCGCAATGGTAACTTAGCTCCACCGATGTGGAATTTCTCATCTTCAGGGTTGTAAGTTTGTATTATCCGACATACCGTTGCATCACATTTTTTGAACATTTTAGGATCCAGCTCGTTAGCCCGAATAGCATCAATCATCAGCCAGAATGGCGTTCTCTGCAACTGTCTGACGTGGGCATCGCGTAATTCGAGTTCCAGAACTGTGCT